ATGGTACTTCTTTCTCTGCTGAACGCAGCTTCATCTAATGTTGGACTGCAAGGTGTCCGGCAAAAATCACTAGGTGATGTTATATTGTAAATAAAATGTTCCCTGTGTTATAATTCCAGAAGGCGGTGCTGCTTGAGGATAATTGTTTATTGAGGATTACAGGTGGGACATCACTAACTTGGCACACATAACACAAAAATCTAGTCAGAAAAATATCATTGCAATTTCTGGCCGCACAACAGGTAATGAACGTAGCAATCGATAGTTATTCTTTNAATAAATCACCGACTGTTACCTACTACTCACAAGTGAGTGGTATCTCACAAAACTTGTAAATAGCTTGGTGACTTGCAATTTCGTTTATCCTGGCAACCGGGATGTATTAGGATATTAACGCTACTGATGGCCGAGTTCAGGCATTTTAACAGTAAGTGTGAAACATCTGCACACTGCATACCGGAAATCCTACGCACTGCGACTTATTTTGTACAACCTAATTGTTAACCGCTATGCAATACTGATTTCCGAGGTCAAACAAAATGATGGAATGCGGACCGGCGGAGAGAAACAGTGCAAAACATTCGCGTGTTTGTACTATCGTGATAGATTCGTTCCTCCTTCCAAACGACGGATGTTATTCAGAAAGCATTTAGAATTAAAATGTGAAACCGTATATACTGAAGAAACATTGAGAAATTATTGGGAGGTCTGCATTTCCACAACGAGCTCTCGTTCAATCTCAGTCTGCAGTCACAACGCGGACAAAATAAGTGTATCAGCCTGCCGAAGTGAAATTATAGGGGCGGACAACTGTCTAAACCCCATCAAGAGAAATGTAAGAGGTCACGAACTACTGTTTCTCATTCCACATTCAGCGCAGACAGTTTTAAAAACGCAAAACGGGAAACAGTGAAGCTCTGGGACGATTTCACCACTTAGGATCTTTATTAGGCATATGAAACGCACCCTTGAATGAAAACAGCATTCTTCTACAACAATCCGGCTTCTCCTAGAGATTATGTTCAAAATGTGTGTCGAGAGTC